TTTCTAAAAGTACCCTATGTTGCAGATGGCATTCACGGAATGGATCGAGCCACCTAAACGTGAAAGAAAAGCCAACTATGCTGTTGATGCTTATTTTAGGGAAGCTCTTCGTGTCAGTGAACCAAAAGCACCAAAGGTGAGTGTAATTGAAACTTGTTAAAAATAGAATAATTAGAAAAAGCTTGTAAACTTATTCCTAAAATGTTTTATACACATCAGTATCCAGTCAGGGACACAGTAGTTCAGTGGCTAAGACCCTCGGCTTGTCGATCAGAAAGATCGGCAGTTTAGCGGTTCGAATCAGTAGCGCTGTGTAACAGAGTGAGCTCCCGTTATTTGTCCCAGTTTCTGCCTAGCAGGTAAAAAATGCAAGTAGAAAAATAGGAACCACCTTTGGTGTGAAGGTAACAGCGTTCCGTACGCCTTTGGCGTTTTGTCATGCTGTCCATATGACCACGGATATGTCTTTGGACAGCACTGGCTCTTCAGCTTTGAAATGGAGATGAGCACCGCCCCCTAGAGTCAGGAAGAACTAGCACATATGTGCAAGGGGAATATAACCTTTTTATCCATATTGTATTGATGAAATTTTTGGAATGTAAACTATTTAAAGCAGATTTATTTGTGCTTTTATCATAGTTGTTTCCATCTATGTCTCTTGAGACAATGATTAAAAATACAATAGAAAAAAGGCTTCTTCCCTATAGATTCAGTTTCCAATTCCTTTAAAAGAATAATGTAATATATCAGTTCCATTCATTCATCAAATCAAGCAGAATTGGAGGTTGCAGAAATTAAACCACTCCTGTATAGATTTTCTCAATTAATTAACAATTAAATACACCTATGTATCAGTGGGGAGACACTTTCAGGGAGTGAGGAATAGCATAAAATAGAAGTAATTTGTATTTTATGTGGAAATTAAATGCTGCTTGACTTCTGTTACTTAAGTGATTATGTTAATGTGTCTTTTTTTAAAGGCCCCACGACCTCCAAAACAACCTAATGTTCAGGATTTCCAATTCTTTCCACCACGTTTGTTTGAATTGTTGGAAAAAGAAATTCTTTATTATAGAAAAACTATTGGATATAAGGTATTCATTTATGTTTTGCTTTTTCAATTTAAAAATTAAAGTTCCGTATGTTTTACTATATGACAGTAAAGCCATATGTTCTGAGTAAAACTAGAGGTTTATATAAGAAACTATAATGTTTTTGGAGCATATGAACTAGTTGCTTATAGAAATATAAACTCCTTAGGTACCTCGTAATCCTGACTTGCCAAATGCAGCTCAGACACAAAAGGAAGAACAAATTAAAATTGATGAAGCTGAACCACTTAATGAAGAAGAACTAGATGAAAAGGAAAAACTACTTACTCAGGTATTTCTCACCTGCTATACAAGTTATAAACCCCCCTTAATTCCTTTTCTAGACTTACTAGTTGGTGTAGAAAAAAGTTCTTGTAAAGGAATGCAAAATTGAACTACAGTTTTGTTCTGCAACTTATGACTCCATAATTTGATGGACATTGTTTTGTCAATAACTGCATCTTGTAAACTTAGTCAATACAGTCACGTTCTCTATTGGCCTCTTTTGAAAATGTCTTTGAATTGTTTAACTGAACTGTTTTCTATATGAGTCTTTCTTTGCTTTATTCATCAGAATAATATTGGCTTAAGAGTTCCAGAAACTAGTATCTTCCAGTCCAAGTATTGAGACAATTTTTATTACTCTTAAATACTGTTCAGTACTGTTGAATAAATTCAACAAATTTATCTATTCCCATCATTCATAGATTGCTTCTGTCAAAACTTGCTGGATAAAAATGCCATAAACAAATCTTTATTGTCCTTTCCTGAGTTGAAATCCAGAAAAGGGAAAGTGGTATTTGTGGGTATTCCCCCCCCCCAAAAAGGTACTATTGACCTGTTCTAATCAAGTTTATACTTCTGGAGTAGCTTTTACAGTATGAGAATGACCAGAATGTTAATGAACTTGAATGAAATAAGGATGGTTATTCAGTCATAAAGGATTTATGATTATGCCCTAGGGAGGCAAGAATTGCAGACTTCATTAGTTCCATTAGTGTCGTTATGGAACATATTTAAAAATACTTAGAAGAATCAGAGTTTATCCTCAACTGGATAATGTAATTTTTCAAGCTTCAAGTTCAACAACAACCAAATTGAGCCTTGTCTTCTAAAGGACAGTAATATTGAACAACTTCTTTTTTTTTTCTTTTTTGAAGGGATTTACAAACTGGAATAAAAGAGATTTCAATCAGTTCATTAAAGCTAATGAAAAATGGGGTCGTGATGACATTGAAAATATAGCTCGAGAAGTAGAAGGAAAAACTCCAGAGGAAGTCATTGAATATTCTGGTAACACAATTTTTAAATAATATAAGAAAAGAAATACCGTATATACTCGAGTATAAGCCGAGTTTTTCAGCCCACTTTTTGGGCTGAAAAAAGCCGCCTCGGCTTATACTCGAGTCTACAACTGGANGGGAACTCATCCCTTTCCAAAGGGGAAGGATGAGCAACTCTCTTTGACACCTCGGCGTTCTGGCGTGGGTCAAGGTTTCCCTCAGGTGGTGGCTCTCCCTGGCCATTCGACGGGGATGCTGCTTCTGGGAACCGGACAGGGTGACAGTGACCACGGACGCAAGTCTGTTCGGTTGGGGAGCTCTGTTGGGCTCCCCCTTGGCCCAGGGCAGGTGGACAGCTTCAGATCTCCGACGCAATATAAATTGGTTGGAACTGAAGGCTGCTCGCTTAGCCCTGCTGCACTTCCAGACCTCGGTGGAGGGCTTCCACATGCTTCTCCTGATGGACAATGTGGCAGCCAAGGCCCACATAAATCGTCAGGGGGGGGACCCACTCTTGGGCTCTGGATAGAGGCCCTACGACTCGGCACCTGGGCGGAGAGGCACCTGTCGTCCTTGGTGTCGGAGCACATCTCCGGCCTGTCCAACCACCAGACAGACTGGCTGAGTTGGGCGACTCTGGACAACAGCGAGTGGCAGCTTCACCTGTCCTTGTTTCAGGAGATATGTCAGCGGTTTTGCACCCCGCTAGTGGATTTCTTTGCCACCCCGGCGAATGAGCAGTTGCCTCGGTTCTTCACTCGGTTTCTGTCCCGGGCAGCGGAGGGCATGGACGCCCTCAGGAGCGGGTGGCCTCCGGGTCTGCTCTATGCCTTCCCTCCCATTCCCCTCATTCCGGGGACCCTCAGGAAGGTGGTAGTGGAGAAGGCTCTGGTCATTGTGGTGGCCCCCTATTGGCCCAGGAGACCCTGGTTCGCGGACTTAGTCCAGCTCTCAGCGGCTCCTCTATGGAGGATTTCACAGGAGGAGGTGGTCTTGCCCCAGGGGGTCCTGGTTAACCTGGATACCCAGTGGCTCCTTCTGACCGCCTGGCTCTTGAACGGCGACTCCTGAGGGGGGCGAACTTGTCTTCCGGGGTTATTTGCACCATCGAAGCTTCTAGATGCCCGTCGACTACCCGAATTTACAACTCCACCTGGAGTGCTTTCATTCGGTGGTGTTCCCCTCTTGGCATTGATCCTGCCAGGGCCACTATCCCCAACGTCTTGAACTTTCTACAGAAGGGCCTGGACGGGGGTTTGTCACACAACACTCTGCGCCGTCAGGTGGCGGCTCTGTCTTCAGTCTTGGGGGTGTGGGGTCTTCTTCACTCTCCCACGTTCCCTTGATCTAGCGGTTTCTCAAGGGGGCGGCTAATCTCCGGCTTCCTCCCATACACAGGTTCCCTACATGGGATTTGTTCCTAGTTCTCAGTGCGTTGACGGGATCTCCATTTGAACCACTCTGGTCTGTTCACTTGTGGTTCTTGTTTCTTAAGGTTTCTTTTCTGGTGGCCATCACTTCGGCCAGGCGTATTTCGAAGCTGGACACCCTTTCCTCTAAGGAGGATCTTTGTCATTTTCACCAGGATAGGGTGGTCTTTCAGCTTGATCCTACCTTCCTTCTGAACATGAACACTCCTTTCCATAGGGTGCAGGAAATCATCCTGCCCGATTTCTGTCCAGGGCCTTCTAGCGATAGGGAAAGGCTCTGGCACTGCCTTGATGTTCATCGTGCCTTGCGAATTTATCTCCGTCAGATGGCGTGGGTCCGCAGGTCAGAGGCCTTGTTTGTCTCTTTCCAACCTAGGACGTTGGGGGCCAGGGTGTCTTTGGCTACCATTGGGTGTTGGTTGCGTCAGGCGATTGCGGAAGCCTATGGGGCATCGAGGCACCCTGTCCTGTCGGGCATTACAGCCCATTTGACTAGGAGTGCTGTGACCACGGTGGCGTGGGCCATGAGGGCCCCCTTTGAAGCCATTTGTCGGGCAGCCACTTGGGCTTCTCCCATGCCTTTCATCCGACTTTATCATCTGGATGCACTCGCCTCGGCGGATGCTTCCTTTGGTCGGAGGGTCTTGCAGAGGGTGGCAGTGGATGATCCCGTTGGGTCATAGTTCTTGGTTGTTTCCCTCCCTGGGACTGAACTTGGGTATGTCCCACACGTGACCACTCCCTCTCTTCCACTGGAAAAAGAATGTTGGTCTTACTTGAACATGTCTTTTCAGGGGAAGAGAGGGAGTGGTCACGACCCGCCCTTCTTTGGGTGGGGCCAAGGGGAGGGCCGGGAATTCTCCCGGTGGGTGTTTTTGTTTTTTGGTTGTATCTGTTGCAGTTCCGTTGTTCGCCTTCGAGGAAACTGGGCTAGAAAGGCAGGAAGGAGTATTTAAGAAGTTTTACTCTCAGTCTTGGACCAATCAAGCTTTGAGAATACCCACACGTGACCACTCCCTCACTTCCCCTGAAAAGACACATTCAGGTAAGACCAACGTTCTGTTTCTTCAGCTGCATGCATAAAGGCCTTAGAACCACAATTATTTTGAAAAGCTGATCCTTTTAAAAGAGAAATTTATCCAGTAGTATAAAATAAAATTATTTTACTGTTTGATATTATTTATTATACTTGACAGGTACTACGACCATTTTTGTTACGTCGCATAAAAGCTGAAGTAGAGAAAAGTTTGCCTCCAAAAAAAGAAGTTAAAATATATGTTGGTCTCAGCAAAATGCAAAGGGAATGGTAAGTAATTAAAATTAGTATTTGAATAAATATAATTTCTCCATGCTGATTGCTTTTTATTATTATTAAATCTTGAAATATTTGCCTTACGTTAATGTAGGACCGAGAGACTCAGTTGTCTTTGTCTTTCAATACAGGTACACAAGAATCTTAATGAAGGATATAGATATATTGAACTCTGCTGGAAAACTGGATAAAATGAGATTATTGAACATTCTTATGCAGTTACGAAAATGTTGCAATCATCCATACCTTTTTGATGGAGCAGAGCCTGGTCCCCCTTATACAACAGATATGCATTTGGTTACCAATAGTGGCAAAATGGTAGTTTTGGATAAATTGTTGCCAAAATTGAAAGAACAGGGTAACTATCTTATCTTATTGCTAAAAATTATTGGATAAAAATCAAGAAAACTTTCCAATTGCTTTAACTCTTCATACAAATAATGATGCTATTAATTTTTATAGAATTACAATATTATAAAAGTAATTCTGTTTATAAATTATCTATCATTTGCTTATTATATATTATACATTTTCAAGGATTTCTAATAGCTAAGTTTATTCAGATCATATATTGCATTATTATACTTACTAATTTCAGTTCTTCATAAACTTTATTTAGAAGAATTTATTTGAGTAACAATTTTTAAATTCTTTCTTCATGCAATAGGATCACGAGTCCTAGTCTTCAGCCAGATGACAAGAGTGTTAGATATATTAGAAGATTACTGTATGTGGCGAAACTATGAGTATTGCAGACTTGATGGACAAACACCTCATGATGAAAGACAAGTAAGCATGCAGATTCAGGAGGTTTATTTTTTTGTCTTTACACTCAGTGTGAATTGACCTTTTTTTTTTAAAATTGTAGGCTTCCATTAATGCATACAACGAACCTGGCAGTTCCAAGTTTCTCTTTATGTTGAGCACACGGGCTGGTGGTTTGGGAATCAACCTAGCTACAGCTGATGTTGTAATTTTATATGATTCTGATTGGAACCCACAAGTAGACCTTCAGGCTATGGTAAGCTTGATTAGTATGAAATCTTGTGTTTGAATCTGACTTTTTTGCAGGGATATTGAACATGCAGCAATGTTTGCTTGTCTGCCTGGATTTTTGATAAAAACTATTTCATTAAAATAAGTTTTCCATGGTAATTATTACATACTATTTTTAAGTTGTAAAGATTTAGACTTCTAAAAGTTATTCCGGTGAAATATTGTTCACAAATTGTGCATTGTTTATATTACAAAAATGTAATTTTTATGAATTGAATATTCCTTTTTTCTTGCTACATAGGATCGTGCGCATAGAATTGGTCAGACAAAGACTGTTAGAGTATTCAGATTTATTACAGACAACACTATAGAAGAAAGAATAGTAGAAAGAGCAGAAATGAAACTTCGCTTAGATTCCATAGTTATTCAACAAGGTAAAAATGTTACACTGTTTTTTAATACCATATGTGATCAGTAAGCTAAATATATCCAAACTTAAAAGAAATGCATCAAAATAAAAAATGATTGCTAAGTACTGTAATGGGAAAATATACCCAAAACGTTTGTCTAGAGCAGTAGTTCCCAAAGTGGGTGGTACTGCCCTCTGGGGGGCGGTGGGGTGACTTAGGGAGGCGCTAAGAGGCTAGGGGGGCGGCAGAGGGACGGTAAGGGGACAACCCGAAGGGGACATACTCCCAGCGGCGTCTCAGGCAACTTTCTCTCTTGCTGCGCAAGGAAGNTGTTGGGGGCAATACGCTGACTCTGTAAACCGCTTAGAGAGGGCTGAAAGCCCTATGAAGCGGTATATAAGTCTAACTGTATTGCTATTGCTATAGAGCGGGACACGCCGGCTTCCGGCCATACAGCGGGTCCCGTTGTATGGCCGGGGTGGTGGTATGCACTTTAAAGTGCCAGCGCGCCTCCCGGCCATAAAGCAGGACGTGTTTCGCTCTATGGCGGGATCTGCTGAATGGCCGGAAGGCACAGTGGCACTTTAAAGGGCATGCTGCCACGCCCCACCATAGAGTGAAACACGCCCTGCTTTATGGCCAGGAGGCGCGCTGGCACTTTGAAGTGCATGCCGCCGCCTCGGACCCGGCCATACAGCCCGTTGTATCGCCGGGGCGGCAGCATGCACTTTAAAGTGTCGCGTGCCTGGCTGGGCGAGTCCCGGAAGATGGGCGGGAGATGGTGCAGGCAGCCGGAGCCCCTTCTGTCACCGTCCCTGAGGAGCCACCGAGCGGTGACAGCGGCGGCCACGTCTCGCAGAGTCACAGCAGCATCTCCGGCATTGGCGACTGCCGACCATGCCTCCTACCTGCTCCCTTCTCGCTGCTTCTTGCCGCTGCTGCACTCTGCCGCCTTGCCCTCCCACCTCCTCTGTCCCCGCTGCTGTGTACGACAGATGCGTACGACATAAACACGAGACGCCTGTCGGACACAGCGTCGGGGACATTGCTTCTCGCCGCTGCCGCGCTCTTTCCTCACCAACCGTAATCCTCACCGCATGTCACTGATGCATGCATGCATGCATGCATACATACATACATACATACATACATACATATTCTTTTACATCATGCCAAATTGATTTCCTTCTTTTTCTTAGATTGGCAGATACAAAGCACCTTTTCACCAATTAAGAATATCATATGGTACTAACAAAGGGAAGAATTACACAGAAGAAGAAGATCGGTTTTTGATCTGTATGCTTCATAAGCTTGGATTTGACAAAGAAAATGTTTATGATGAATTGAGACAGTGTATTCGAAATTCTCCCCAGTTCAGATTTGACTGGTTCCTCAAGTCTAGAACTGCAATGGTATGTACTAGTTTCTGTTTGTTTTTTTTAAAAAGACAAAAAATGAGAAAACCAATTTGTGGATAGAGAAGGCTGTTATTATCTGTAGATAAACATTATTTCTTACAGATCGTTCTTGATTTATGACCACAGTCATGCCCAGAAATTCAGACAATGTGGTGTTGTTAATTGAGTCATATGATCAAACTCAATTTTATGACCAGCTTTATTGCAGTTGTTAAGTAAATCACTGTGTTAGTTAAATAAATTACATAGTCATTAAGCGAACCACATGGTTGTTAAACGAATCCAGTAATAACTTTGAGAATGGAACATAAGGCCGTCATAACTTTAAACAGTTTTTAAACAAATGATCATAAGTCAGGGAACTGTATGTTACTGAAAAATGTTAGATTGGATGTAACAAGTGAAACCTGATTTATCAGAGTAGCATCTCTCCTTTTGATACACCATTTGTTATCTGTAAATTTCCTAGTACAATTATTAATGCTGGTTATAACCTATAAAGGGCCATGGGAGTGAGGGTATGGCAATGTTCTCTCGTTCTTGCTCATAGTTGAGTATTTGTTTTAATTAATATGATTTAACTCCCTTATGGATAAACATAGTACAGCTTTTTTGTATTTTATGTTATTTTTTACTTTATAGTATTTGGGGGAGGGGTTTCTTAACTTTTTAATTGGATGCAGGAAATGTTCATACACTCATATGAAAAAGAAGGTACATTCTCTTGGAGTTCAATGTTTCATATATGATGATGAGGATATGGAGTAATATATCATTTATTGTTTGTCTGAGGTTGTACTTACCTTTTTTTAAAGAACTGCTAAGGACCAGATGATTTTTAGTATTTCCTGATACATAAAATCCAAATATGATTTGCTTTCTTTTTCATGTGACTGTACAATTTTTTTTCATTTCCTTACTTTAAATCTATAAACATTAAAAATATTATTAAATATTCATTCACCTTTGCAGAAATAGGTCCTGCTTAATGTTGTATGAGGTACAGGTTCTACCAGCTTCCACTGAAACATAGAATTTGACCAGTGCCAAAATGTGTCCATCCAATTGTATGTTTGGAACAGCATAGTAATTGTGTAATAAAACATTTTTTAAAGTAGTCCTTATTTACCAACCACAATTGGGATTGGTAGCTCTGTTGTTACACAAAGCAGTCAGTAAGTGGAAAATCACATGGTCATGTCTATGCTTTTTCCATTGCCCCTCCCTTTGGTTTGCTCAGTTTGGCACTGGTTAGCAGAGTTTAGCAAGAAGTGAATTAATTTTTGTATTTTTATTCATTAGAATGGGAGGCATTACAAGAGAATAAGTAGGCATATTGAACGGAATGTGCTGCTTCATGCAAATGATGATGATTTTATCTAGTTGGGTTATGAAATGCCTGCAAGCAAGCAACGAAGCTCTTTATTCTTAACTAGGGACATACATAGTGAAGATTTTATGCTTCATGTAATTGTAACCCAAAAGGAACACTCACTTTTATTGAAGTAGTATAATGACTATTAACTATGCATTTTTTCTGTTTTTATTCTCTGCCTCATTTCCATCCCATCAAAAGAAGTTCCTTCCATATGTTGTACTGCTTCTAGCATAAATATCGGAACTTTGTACTTATTCTTCAGAAATGGTTCATTAAGATGTACATGTTTCTTTTTCTTTGGAAGCTCATTTCCATAGTTCAGTATTACAGGGTTCTTGGAACGGTGGTAGATAATCACTTACCTTCCAGGTGTTTACATCACCATAAAATCTCATTGCTGAATATAATGATTCCCAAGAAATGGAGCTGTAGTTCCAGATACATAGTAGATGTAAACTGTTGACAAGTAGCCTTTTAACATGGCTATTTTGAAAGGCTGGAAGGATTATTCTACAGATTTTTCCAAAGTTTTATCTTACATGTGGAGGCATCTATACAGTGGAGAGGAATAGAAATAACATAATGTAATTGTGTAAAATTCTTTATACCATTGAATCTCGTTTGCCCTTGATTCAGGAATTACAAAGAAGATGTAATACCTTAATCACTTTGATTGAAAGAGAAAATATGGAATTAGAAGAAAAAGAGAAGGCAGAAAAGAAAAAACGTGGACCTAAACCATCTTTGGTTAGTGTAAATTCTGTTTAACTCTGAAGATTCAGATGAAAGAAAATGATATAAATGATAATATGAATGGGAAAAGATTATGAATCCATATTAGTTATAATTTCTTAATCTAGTTTTTTAAACAGCACACATTAAGTCTAGATTTGTAGGATTAATCACATTTTTATATTACTTCATGCTAAATGGCGTAGAATTGAGCAGGATTTTAAGATAGCCTTTGCAGTATTTCTTTCTAAACTCCTTTTCCCATATTAATTATGATTTTGTAAAATAATAATTTTGATATATAATGAAAAACAAATTATAAAATGTTTTTAAACTCACTATAGCTTTATAGTAATTTAAATCATGATGAACAAAATTCTCAGAGCTGAGACTCAATTTTTCTCTTTTCTGATTCAGACACAGAAGCGTAAATTGGATGGTACTCCTGATGGAAGAGGAAGAAAAAAGAAACTAAAGCTGTGAATACTGAATTCTTGTAATCACTAAATTTAAGCTAGTTCTTTAATTTTACGGGTCTTCATAAGATGTACTTTACAAATCTCAACTATTATGTCATTAAAGGACATTGGGTTCATGTGTTTACTTGCTGAACTAGAAGAGTAACGTAGTTTCACGTTTTTAAATAAAACAGCTGTGCTGAACTTTTTTTTACCATTAACACTTGAAATAAAAAAAATAGGCTTCATCTAGTAGTTGATGTTTTTTATATGTGTATGTATATATATATATGTATATGTGTGTGTGTATATATATATATACTGTTCAATTCTTAGTTTCACGAATATGCTAAATCACACTACCCACTAGTAGTTTATAGATATCATGCTTAGGTTTCCCAGGCTTTAAAGTTTTCAATGTCTGTCCATAGGTTTTTATGGACATATATCCAGTGATAAAATAAACATTTATCACTGGGCAAACTATTTAGAATTATCTATGCCGCTCCATTAGTTTCCCAAGATGATCTCTGTACTTTAACTTTTGCCTTTTTAAATAGGCAGGTAAAGATATCAAACATCCAGCCAAACAACATTTTTATTTTCTATGAAAATGTCTGTGGGACACAAAAGTGTCATCGGAAATATTACATTGGAATTGATACTTTGCATTATAGCATAGAGTCAGCCTTGTTAATCTACAATGTAACTATGATTGTGCTTATCTCAGTCATCACCCCCTCCCTTTTATGGGACTACTTTTTCTTTTTACTTGCCAATTATTGTATTCTGCTCAATCATAATAGTAATAAGCCAAGAAGCCAAAATCAAACTGTATTCCATTTGTACATCATGTTAGCTGCATTTATAACTGTTAAGCGAAAGAAAATCATATCAAATTAGCTTACTGCACAGAAGAAGAGAATGTTTAAGTGAAAATCTTTCCACTCAAATTTTATTTCTAGATTTCTCACAGAAAACAAGGATTAGTCTTTTTCTTGGTTGTGCTCTATAACCCACCTACCTAATAGAGGTACA